CTAAGTGATAACTGGGAGCAGGACTTAACTTCTACACTACCCGCTATAGTAGTGAAAGACGACGGCCCTCGTGTGCAAATTCCATAGAGCAGGAGTTATCTCTAGTGAATTGACGAACTGATAAGAGATTACGAATAATATAAGGGACATGAAGAACATTGTGGAGATGAAATGTAGAGCCAGTGGGTGTTGCTTGAGGTACATGACCACTCGGTGAAATTGGAATACTAGAGCCATTCCCCATCCCCACAGTCACCAAGTACGAGAAAGGAGACGAAGAGGGGTGCTGGCATCATCGGCTGTCATATGTAGGTAGGCGCTGGAGTCAACCACCAGCTATTGTTGCCGACTTGTAGGTTGTTCATGGCAGCTACGAAGCTGGCGCTGTCCCACGAAGGCTGAGCACCAATGGGAGTCAGCGGTTGTGACTGGTAGAGAGGAGCAGCAGTGGTCTAGGACCAAGGGGTCCAGGGCCAGTGGAAAGACGACTAGACCACTGGGCAGAGCTCCAACCACTGGGAACTAACACTGTCTAACCGCCTGAGTCAAAGCAGACTCATGTGCTCTGGTGGTTGGGGTCGACCATAGCCTCGCTGGCCGCCCTGACCAGAACCGTCGTTGCCTTTCCTCTTCCACTGCTTCTTGTTGGAGGAGCCACCATGACAGGCGGTCCCACTGCAAGGTGGCAACGATCTTTTGGTAGTGGAGAGCAGCGCGAAGTCAGCTTCGGCCTTGGTGGAGGTGGCGAGGCGCATCTTCTCACACAGCAGGATGTTGCCAGTGGAGGCGAAGTTGGGGAGGATGGTCGACATTGCGATGGCGGTGGCCACGGAGGCCATCGTCTTGTTCAGACAGCAAAGTACGTTGAGAACCAAAATGTGGTAATTGGTGTTGCGGAGAGCGTCAGCAATACACTTCTGCTCCTTCCAGCAGGCGGTGATGGAGAGATCGCCTTGCTGCAGCCCATGAAACTTGTTGATTACAATGGCATGGTTCTCCTTGTTGCAAAAGCCCTTTGGCAGCGATGTACAGATGTCGCGCAGTCTGGTCCAGATCAAGGACACTGCTGGCGATGGAGTTGTACATGATGGTGTGGATGGCATAGTCGTCCTGGACCCAAGACAGTTCAGTTGGCTGGGCAGGAGCAGAGCCGTCGATGTGGTGAAGAGCGCAATGGTGACCAAGAAGGGCGCAGAAGATGTCCCACTTGGTGAAGTTGCAAGTGGCAATCCAGCATCACCGGCATCTGGGAACGGAGAGAAGCAGCGGTGGCACCAATCTGGACCATGGCAGACACGCAACTGTAGGCCGAAGTGGTGGAGGATGGGCTAGAGGTGCCACTAGTCGCCGACATGGCTGCAACAGGGAGGTGGGCAACAGAATATAGCAAGGTTCAAGCTCTGAACAATGTTTTCAGATCGGACGACTAATCGCGATTAATCGTCCTTATCGTAACCAGGTGCTCGATAAGGGCCCTCGATTAGTTTAGACCGATTAGAAAACTTATCGTCCGATAAGTTGTGACTAATCACGATTAGTCGTCCGATCAGACTAGCCGCACGACTAGTTCGGGGGAGGGAGAATTTGGCCCAACTAAAGAATTCGGCCCACCTGGCTGCTGGCCCATTAGGGTAAGAAGAAGAGGAGTGAGTGAGTGACCTAGTGGGAATTGCAGCCGCATTTCCAGCTCCCGCTTCTCTCTCTCGCAGCCGCTGCTCTCTCTCGCAGCCGGCGGCGGCCTGCCTCTGGATCTCCCTCACCGGAGTCCACAGCTCTGTCCGCGCCCCTCGCCGGTGTCCGCAGCTCCGTCCGCGCCTCTGTCGGGCATCCGCAGCTCGGTACCCGCGCCTCTCGCCGGCGTCCGCAGCTCCACCTGCGCTTCTGTCCGGTGTCCGCAGCTCCGTCCGCGCCTCTCGCCGGCGTCCGCAGCTCTGCCCGCGCCTCCACCTCCGCTCGCTCCTGTCTCCTCCCCTGCCGGGACCCAGTAGATCCGCCCGCCTCTGAGGCTCCTTCCTCGACGCCTGGAAGACGGACACGGGAGGCCTCAAGCATCAAGATGAGCCACCATGATACATGTAAGTGGCCAAATCAGCAAGCAGCAGTTACAGGTAAGTGGCCAAATCACCATGATAATGATTCATTGCAAACATGATTACATGCCAAACTGTGCTTGGTTGCTTGCTTCTAACATTTACCTATTTATTATGGCCATGTTTACATATATTTACATCATATATATAGTATATACATGGTCGATCAGGCCATCTAGGCACAAGGACGACTAAATGTCCGACTAGCCGATTAGACCGATTAGGATCGACTAATCGACCCTTATCGACGACTAATCGCGATTAGTCGTATGATCGGTGGTCATACGACTAGCCTCGATAATACGATCTGAAAACATTGGCTCTGAACCTATCTGATACCATGTACAAATGAGAAGGAGAGCAGGAATAAGGGCAATGCGACTGTTATGACGCCGGTAAGGGGGTAGTGGGGGTGCCGGCGACGGCGAGCCTTGGGTGCGCAGAGTGTAGTCGCGGCTATAGTGGGAGCGAGGTTTTACCCCTCAGCTCCCTATGTTGTTGGAGAAGAGAGACAGAGAAAGGAGAGCAAGTCATTGCTTGATTATTCCCTGGGTCTCTCGGTTTACAAAGCCATTAGGCAGCCCCAATCACTCTTAATTCTTTCCCAATCATTCTTGCTAAGCTTCTAAATTAGCACCAGCTAATGGGGCACCCAGGATTGCCCCCAAATTAGCACCATTCTAGCCACTTTCCTGGCTTGATGCGCTTGCCTTCTTTGCTTTGTGAGTGAGTCTCGCCCCACATGACACCCCCCCCCCGACTCGAAAGCAAATGCCCCTTGAGCTAGAACTGTGGATAGCGTTGGACAAAGGAGTTGACGTCTTCCCAGGTGGCCACAGAGGGTGGTTTGCTACGGCACTAGATCAGCACTTGGCTTTGACAGCCGCCTCCGGAACTAGAACCGCCACACCGTGATGCATAGGAGGTAGTGGTGGAGGAGAAACTAGGGACTGAGCGTTGAAGCGCTTGAGGAGGCCGGCGTGGAAGACATCATGGATGCGGGCGCCTGGTGCCACGTTCAGGCGAACTGCTACCACATTGATGACCTCGGAGACTTGATAAGGCCCATAGTAACGAGGGCGCAACTTGCCCAACGTCGCGGACGGCAGTAAGAGAGGCGTGCGGTGGCGCACACGCAGCCATACCCAATCACCGACATTTAAGGACACCGGCCGGTGGCGACAGTCATAGGACTTGTAGACACGTCACGTTCCGCCATTGTCTTGGCCACGGCCGCGACCTAGGAGCGGATCGTGGATGGGTTGTGGCCATACACCAGCTTGAACGGTGTCCTAGAGGGATGTTTGAAACGCTGTGTTGTAGGTGTATTCAGCCCACGGAAGCCACTGGCGCGGCCAATACCAACGCAAATACATAGTGATCACCTTGTTCGCTACTTCGGCCTAGCCATCAGCTTGAGGGTGGAAGGCGGTTGTCATCTGCAGCTTGGCGCCAGAGAGTGTGAGGAGCTCCTTCCAGAACGCCGAAGTGAACACTGGGTCGCAGTCGGAGACAAGTGACTCTGGGATGCCGTGTAGGCGCACGATCTCGGCGAAGAACGCCTTTGCGACGATCTTGTCAGTGTACGGGTGGCCCCTCGATGAAATCCAGCGCCACGTCAGCCCAAACCACAGATGACAAGGGCAGGGGCAGGAGCACGCTGTCTGGGAGGAGGTGCTCAGTCTTGTACTGTTGGCAGGTGAGGCAGCCATGGATGAAATCCTACACCACTAAGCGAAGGTTAGGGGCATGGAAGTTGCGGCGAAGCAGGTGCAGGGTCCGCTGGATGCCCTCGTGGCCGTCGTTGTGGATGTCGAACACCAGGTCTTGAAAGAGCATGGAGGACGGCCCGCCTGGATGTCCTCCCGCAGTGCCAAGAGCGCGGGATCGGTGTTGTTGGCTTGGCGCAGAGGGTGAACTATGTGGTGGCCAGGAGGAAAGCCGAGACTGAGTCAACATCGTGACGGGAGAGCGAGTCGGCGACGATGTTGGTGCTGCCCGGTTTGTACTCCACCGAGAAATCGAAGCCCAACAGCTTCCCCACCCAATGGTGTTGTGGAATTGTCGAGGAGGAACTTGAGGCTAAAACGATCCGTGCATACCAGGAAGCGGCGGACCTAGAGGTAAGGCTTTTGTTGGAACTAAACACGGGTTTGGGGCAGATTCTCTATTGCTTAGCCACAAACCATGGCAGGATTTTTCTGAGTACATATAGGATAGAAAGCTTGCAACTTAAGAAAGCTACAGTATATTCAAACTACTAAAGTAGATGCTAATTAGGATAAGATAGATGATAAGGGTGCTGACACAGCCACCAACTACTCTAGATAAACACAAGAGTTACAGAGGTCTATCAAAGGCCTCCAGTGGCGGATGGCGTGGACAAGGCCGATGAGCTCATAGGCCGCCAAGGAGGCGTGATGCGGCACGGCCGGTCGACTGAAGAAAGCTATCGGCCCTTTGTCTTGGAGAAGCACTGCACCGAAGCCCGATAAGGAGGCATCACACTCCACAATGAATGGCTTGCCGCAAGAAGGCAGTGCCAGGACGGAAGCGGTGGTGAGTGCCATCTTGAGCGCGATGAAGGCTGTTGGCCACGTCTGATCACCTAAACCACTCTACTTTCACGACAGGGTGGTCAGGGCTCAGGGGTGCGGCGATCAAGCCATAGTCCTACACAAACTTGCGGTAGTAGCCCACCAATCCCAGGAATCCCCGAAGGACACGGACTGTCATGGGCACAGGCCACTCCAGCACCGCTGGACCTTGCCTGCGTCCATGGCGACGCCGTCGGCGGAGATGACGTGGCCCAAGTAGATGAAATAAAGGGTTTCGAAATGGATACATAAAATACAATACCAAAGCTTAATCTTAAGGAAAAGGTGTCACAACGACATATATTAGTGTTACCTGAGGTATATCAGTAAATAATGGGGTCATAAATAAGAGAGCACTACCAATGATTATGCCCATTATGATTCCAGATAACCCAGTTTTTGCCCCACTTTCATTATTCACTGCTGACCTAGAAAAGGAGCCTGCATGAACCAGCATTTTAGACTCGTAAAATTTTGATCTAGCACCTAAGACTATGGAAAAGAAGAATAAAGGACTCGGTTATTTCTCATTATATAGTGTTAAATATTTTACCTGTGGCAGGATATGAAGAGAAGAATGAACCACAGATATTTGCTATGCCCAGACCAAATAACTATAACAAAGCAAACATGAACGGAACTGTTAATTTGAACAACTATATTAGGAGACAAAACATGCAATTCTGAATGCAAAAGTACATATGATTCCATATATTTCTTTAAACCAATTTATTACTGAATTACTGAATCAAATTATATAGGCCAAAATTCTCTGTAGTTACTAATTAGGACAAGTGTGTGTTGTGAAGTGAACAAGAAGATGCATAGAAAAGCTAACATTTTATTCATTCGTTCTTGGCATATTAATTATTGCAACCTACAAAGTTAAAATCTTCCAGACGATACATTGACTACCCCTGAAGAAAGAGCTTCATCCCACAACACAAAAACTGTGCATGAAAATTTCATTGTTCAGTTACAGACTATTAGAGATATGTATGTACTTTACTTGTACTCTAAGTTGTATCTTGACTATATATATGAAAGTCACCTCTCCCTTAACAAGTGTGAGGTGTTTCCCTAATTCTCTATATGGTATCAGACGACTGGGTTCCCTTCCAGCCTCTGCCCCAGCTTCTCCCCGCGCCGCCGGTTCCACGGTCACGCAACCACCCACCTCGTGCTGCCCCTGCACACGCTCTCCTCCCCTCCGCTTGCACGCATCAGCCGGTCTGCTCTGAGCAACTCCCTCTCCGACGTGGGACCGGCTTGCACGCTTGCACGCATTACCCTCCCTCTCCGACGCGTAACTCCGCTTCCCCGCGCGCCACCACGTGCCCGTGCGCTGTCCGCCCCCGCGCGTGACTCTGCTTCCCGCACGCACGTCTGCTCTGAGCTCACCTCACCCCTCTGTTCGATTGGGCCTTCTCTCCCGATCCCTGCTAGGCTGATCGTTGTTGCCCCCTATGCGACGGTCACTGTCCACTCCCATGTCCATGTCATCCTCGAGCTGAAACATCCGAACTTCCACAAGTGGGTGCCTTTCTTCAAGTCTCTGCTGGGGAAGTCCAGGACCTAGCCATGGAGGGCAATCAGTCAGCGCGCTAGCTCTGGGTCACCATCGAGGGCCTCTTTCTATCCAACAAGGAGCCCCGCGCCGTCTTCCTGCACGAGTTCTCTATGAAGTAGGGGGGCGGGGGGCCTCTCCATCCTTCCCACAGCCAACACCTCCTTCCATCTCAATAATGTTCCGATTGCGCCTGAAATTATGCGCATTCTTCTTTTTGTTCGTCAATTTACACGTGATAATCATTGTTCTGTCGAATTTGACGCCCTTGGTTTTTCTGTTAAGGGTCCATGGACAGGACACATGATTCTTCGCTGCAATAGCAGTGGCGACCTCTACACCATACCCACTTCATCCTCCACCACCACTAGCTGTAGCCTCGCCGTCTCATCTACCCTATGGCATCGTCATCTTGGTCATCCGTCCAACTCTGCCGTCGCTTCCCTTAGAAACATGTCGGTTATCACGTGTAATAAAGCAACACCCTGCCAGCTAGGCACATGCGCCTGCCTTTTGCTAGCTCAGTTTCCATTACATCAGAAGCTTTTGCTCTAGTTCATTGTGATGTGTGGATGTCCTTAGCACTTCGGGTTACAAGTATTATTTGGTCATGCCTGCAGTCATTTTTGCTGGACCAAGTCTATGGTCACGCTGCATCAAAAATCCAAGTCTATGGTCATTTTGTTGATTTTATTGCTTATGTTCAGACTCATTTTGGTTCAGTTTCCAAGTGCTTTCAAACTGACAATGGCACTGTGTTCGCTAATAACGCCATGTCTAGCTTCTTGACCAGTCGCGACATTTTGCTTCGCCTTTCCTACCCCTACACTTCTCACGAGAATGGCAAAGCTGAGCGTATGCTTTGCGCCCTCCTCATCCATGCTTCCATGCCGCGGGCTTACTGGGTCGAGGCGCTTGCTACAGCCACTTATGTGCTTAACCGGAGCCCCTCCTCTTCTGTCAGAACCAAAATCCCGTACCAGCTCCTTCATCGCTCTTTACCTGAGTACTCCTACCTCCGCATGTTCGGCTGTCTGTGTTACCCTAACCTTAGTGCCACGACTCCCCACAAACTTGCGCCTCCAGCACCTTGCATGTTTCTCAATTATCCCTCATCCCACTAAGGGCTACCGGTGCCTTGATATCTATACGCGTACGATCATCTCCCAACATGTCGCTGTGGTACCATCTGGTGCGTCTTCACTTGACTTTTTGTTGCAGGGTGCTTCTTCTGTTGTGCCGGTCGCTCCACCTTCAGGTGTCGAGTAGCCGCCCTCATCTTCGGTCGCTCCCTCGCCTGAGGAGGTCAACCAGTCGTTGCTCGACGACCCGGCCATCATGGCCCGCCCTGCTGTTCAGCATGATGGACGTCTCGCCGCGGCTGCTACTCCAGGCAGATCTGGTCCCTTCGGCATCGTCTACCAGCGTCGTCCACCGAAACCGGCGCACCTGGCCTCTCTTACTACAGCTGACGACCGCCGCTACAGCAAGGTGTACAAGCGTCACCCACACCCACCCCAGCCGTCTTCTCCAATAGACGCGGCCGGGGCTGGTCCTTCAATCGTGCCTCATCGGCTGCTGGGGAGCCTCCCAGCACCACCTCCATTGCTAGAGCTCCGCCATCCGTTCTAGAGAGCCGACAGCTCCGTTCTGCTACCCGCCTGCCTCCACTGGCCCGTCCAATCACACGCCCCAGCCAGGCACCACTGCTGGCCGGGTCGCCTTAGGTGTGCTCCTAAGCAGCGACCCATGCAGAGTTTCGGCCTCCTTGAACCCCCTCTTCGAAGTGGCGTGGTTGACTGGGGGTGCAGCCTGTCAACTACCGAAATCTCTCTGCTACGTCGACTTCGCCTTTACCAGCTAACTACCGCAGCGCGCTAGCTGATCCCAAATGGTGTGCTGCCATGGCGGACGAGTACCAAGCGACCATCGACAACGGCACATGGCGCCTCGTACCTCGGCCTCCCGGCGCCAACATCATGACGGGCAAGTGGATATTCAAGCACAAGTTCCACACCGATGGCTTTGCCCGCCACAAGGCTCACTAGGTCGTTCGAGGATTCTCCCAGCAGCACGGCATCAACTACGATAAGACCTTTAGTCCGGTTATCAAGCCGGCCACCATCCATGTTGTACTCAGCATTGCACCATCAAGGAAGTGACCCATTCATCAGCTCGACGTGAAGAATGCTTCTCGTGCGTGGCATCAATAGTTTGACACCTACATCTGCAAGCATGGCTTCTTCATGGCAAAGTCCGACACTGAAAGAAGATATGGCTCAAGAAAATTGGTAGATTGATAATAGGAGGTACAGAGAGTGTACAATATATAGGCAAGGATGTCCCGGGGTTTATAGAACAATACCCAATCCAACAATACCCAATCAGGAAGATCCTTGCCTAATAACAAATCAACTACCATAAAACCCCTGGAGGCTAGCTTCGGTGCCTATGCCCATGCGGCCAGCCCAATAGCCCCTCAGTCTTATCGTCTGCCACTGCGCACGTTCAGACTGGACCTGAACTTTGTGAAGACTGAAGGAAGACCCTTGGTGAGCTCATAGATTTAGTGAGTTTAGCGTCCTGTTTTCCTAGATTGTATAGCTTCCTTAGTTTAGTTTTCTGCTGGCCCATCCCCTGGGTTTTCTTTTCCTCGGTTGTTTCTCCTCCCTTTGGAGGTTTTTCTGTACGGCTATGTTTTTTTAATAAAATCATACAGTGGGGGCCTCCCCTGCTGTATTTCATGTTCAAAAAAAGATGTCCGCATATTTGAGACGATGTCGGGACATGAAGGACACGAACATCACCAATCGCAACCCGCTCTCGGACTAAGTGAAGATCAATCCCAATGTGCTTGTGCGCTGATGCTGTATCAAGCTGGAGGACATGTAGACCACGCTGGCATGGAGCTCCTGGAGAAGCTATCGCAGCCAGGCGGCCTCGGCTACACCATTAGCCACTGCGTGATACTCAGCTTCAGCACTGGATCTTGAGACGGTCTTCTGACGCTTGGAGGACCAAGAGATGAAATTGTCACCGAGAAACACAGCATAGCCTGAGGTGGACTTGCGCGTATCCGGACAACCGAGTCAGTATCAGTGTAGACCACAAGATCAGTTGATGTAGATGGTCGCAGCTAAGGCCAGTGAAGAGCACCTCAAACGTAGCGGAGAATCTGCTTGAGAGCTGCAAGATGAGGCTCACGGGGGTCATGCATGTGTAGACAGATCTGCTGAACAGCATACGCAATATCCGGCCGAGAGAATGTCAAGTACTGTAAAGCACCAGCCAGACTGTGAAAATATGATGCGTTAGCCACAGGCGCACCATGGGTAGCAGCGACCTTGGGATTTGTGTTAGCCGGAGTAGAACACGGTTTGCATTCTACCATCCCAGCGCGATCAAGTATGTCCATCATGTACTGCCTCGGAGAGACTAGAAGACCATCGCCACAACGCTGAACATGCATACCGAGGAAGTGATGCAGTTCACCAAGGTCCTTCACGGAGAATTCCTCCGGGAGGGCTGAAATAATCCGTCGAAGAGGACCGGGTGAGGAAGCTGTAAGGACGATGTTATCAGCATAAAGTAGTAGATAAACTGTCTCTCGGTGATAGACAAAGAGCGAAGTGTCTGACCTGGCTTCAGCAAATCCAAGAGAGAGCAAATGTGTAGCAAACCGACTGTACCAAGCACGAGGAGCCTGCTTCAACCCATAAAGAGACTTGTTGAGCCTACAAACAAAGTCAAGATGAGCGGGATCCTCAAAACCAGGCAACTGCATGCAGTAAACTGTCTCAATCAAGGTGCCGTGCAGAAAAGCATTTTTCACATCAAGTTGGTGAACAGACCATCGACGAGAAAGGGCCAGGGAGAGCACCGTGCGGACAGTAGCTGGCTTCACCACGGGACTGAACGTCTCTGCGAAATCCACACAAGGGCACTGGGTGAATCCACGAAGAACCCAGCGTGCCTTCTACAGCTCGAGAGACCCATCAGCATTGAACTTGTGCTCGAAGATCCACTTCCCTGTCATCACATTGGCCC